TTATATATATGTATAACATTATTATATTAATAGACACATTAATTACGAAGAAAAGAACAAGATGTAATTATTAGATAAGCAAGAAATATACATGCTTCAAAGTTTACTTCATTCAATTTTTCTCAGCTTATTATTAATATAATATTATAATTAAATTACAACAATAAGGTATGATATTATAATTATTATAACATAAATATAATAATTATTAAATTATCATGCTAATAAAAATATGTATATTAATAATAATATTTATTTTTATACATACATATATAATATATATATATATATATATATATATATATATATATACATAGTATATAATATAAATAAAATTATTAATATATTATATGTATATATTTTACTAATATTTTTTAATATTATTTTTCAATATTATACATTATATTAATAAAAATTCGTATTATTTATTATCGAGCGATTTATAAGTCTCTACACGTCTTTTCAAAGATGTGCGATCATTCTCACACGCGACACGGATGCCTCGTTAGTCTCTCTCTCTCTCTCTCTCGTATCCTTATTATTAATTAATTCATTCATAACAGGCGTGTCCAAATAAAAATAGGAAGAGCAACGACAAACACCTCGCGTATCTTCGTTATGAGAGTTGCTGCTGCTTTGCCTTCTCACGCTGTGCATGGAAAATCGAGGTAAATCGCCGCTCCTTCCGTCATCCCCGAGAGAGAGATTTATATTCGGTACAGGAGAGCGGAGAATTGCGCAACAAGTTACACGGTTCATCGACGGCGAAACGATCTCCGAAGATCGTCGACCCTCCAACAAAATATATATCCTCGATCTCGCCCGACTCCGATTCGATATCTCGGTCACTCGAAGATGCTAAATTTAACTCCTGCATTTATATCCTGAATATATATATATATATATATTAATATATTAATAAACATATTAATTTATTAATATATATTTAATAATATATTAATATATCTATTAATATATATTATAATAAATATATATGAATAGATTAATATATTAATATATATATGGTATATATATATATATATATTATATATAATATATATATAAATTTATTAATATATTTTATTAATAATTCTAAGATATCTAAAAATAATTATGAGATATGTATATATGTATATATATATATATATATATATATATATATATATATATCGCTCGATAATAAATAATACGAACTTTTATTAATATAATTTATAATATTAAAAAATAATAAAAATAAAATCTCGACGGCAATCGGAGCCTATGCGGATGACATGCACAAAATTAATAAATTAAAATGAGATCTCAAGTCAAACTCATTTGACACAGTCGTTTGAGTGATGTGTCACGTGTAGCATCGTCTTCTCTCTGTTTTTGCTGTCGGGTGTGGTAAGGGAGTCACTGCTCCGCTTCCTTCCTGACGATGGTCACCGTTAGGGAGACACTCCGACGGCCGGACGGTTTGAATAGGGAGGAGAATGATATTTAATTTATTTGCGGATTCTACTGAAGAAGACCCGAAGTGGGTCGAAACGTTTAGAATTTAATAAATGAGTTTGACTTGAGATCTCATTTTAATTTATTAATTTTGTGCATGTCATCCGCATAGGCTCCGATTGCCGTCGAGATTTTATTTTTATTGTAACACAATAATTCGAGCCGAGATTAATAGTTTTTTTTTATATAAAAAATAATATTAAAAAATATTAGTAAAATATATACATATAATATATTAATAATTTTATTTATATTATATACTATGTATATATATTACATATATATATGTATATATATATTTTATATATGTATAAAAATATATATATATATATATATCTATTTTAGATTATATACATATATCGAAAATACATATATATCTTCAAACATAAAATCGGTTCTCTTATCTCTTAAGTCGGGCACTTAAAATATCAAACTATTATGTGTGTCTGAAAATATTGAATTTTCATCACGCGACTGTTTGCAAATCGAGATATATTTCGTTCAAGGACGACGATTACGTCCACAGGAGGAGAAAGACCTTTAATTGAGGCGAGGTGTCACAAATCGAAAAATACTTGGAAGATTGATGGCGAATTAAATTTTTTCGTCGCTATAAATTTGCCGTCTATCTCGATCAATTATTTCGCCTTTTTAATGATCGGCGTTTAAAGAGAGAGTCTGCCGCGGAAAAATAAATAATAATAGAGACTTCTCATCTCGAGATTTTTATTTCGGGATACTTATCATCAAATTGTAAACTCGTTAAGTTTTTAGCTAGCAAAAATGAGTCACGACTTACAGTTAACTTCGAGCAACAGATAAATTTATCATCGGACACATATTAGTTCCATGTGGTTTACCGGATTAATTTACCGGAATAATTAAAAATTATTTACATAATTATATAGATATAAATGTATACTAACTGTATAATTATATAGATAAATATATATATTAATTATATAATTAATTATTATAATAATTATATAAGTATTGTATATAAAATATATATAATAATTATATAATTAGTTTATAATTATATAATTTTATATAATTAATTACTTTGACTTAATTAAAAAAAAACCAACCAGTTAGGCACATGTGATATTTTCCGAAGACTGATAATCTGTAATATTCTTTCGATTATTTAACATTTAATTATGCGAGACATTAAAAAGAACAAATTAATATTGGCAATATATGTGTGATAATATGATCGAACATTTCCAATAAAACGGAATGTATTGTCCTGACATATTGTCGACAGGCGTGTCCTGCAGCTGATATCTACGACAACAACATCCGTGACGCGTGTCAAGGTCCCTTCGTACAGAAAATATGGGATAAAAGAGAGAGACGAACTCATCTCTATATAAAAACATTGTTTTTATACACATTTCCATTTCGCGCGTTAACCTTAATCCTTTATATCAATATTTTTCATATCTAGTGACGAAATAAATTATATACACAAATATTTTTTCCTTTCTGCATACCTCAAATATTCGATCAATTATTCTTCATTAAATATTAGATGAAATCATTTTTTATAAATGTAACAAAAAGTATTTATAATATTTAACAAATAACGAAACATAACGATGCCGAGCGATAGCGCTGCAAAAGCATCGAAACCGGAAAAGCATAAAAAATTGCGAAGAATTCAAGTAAATGTACAGAGAGAAAAAGTGAATAAAACGAGAAATCACTCGACTATAAAGATCGATTTTGTCATATTAAAAATGACATTGAAATCATCGCACACGTGTATATACTTTTAACTATATACGATATTTCGTAATAATTATTCACTCGTTACTTTTTCAACACATTACATAAGAAATATTCAAGAGTTGAGTAGTTTAATTAAAAAAATCTTGATTTAAGCTTTGATATTCATATCGATAATATTCAGCAGCTCGTTCTTTCCGAAAATTAGGCATTTCAATCTATTTTTGCATATACGTATTTTCGGTTTAATAAAAACATATTTTGAAATTTGTTAAATATTTCAGAAGCATATTCTCTCTACAAAAATAGTTACATGATGTATTTATATTGTTCAGAGTGTCCCGTAAAATGTGAGACTCACTTTAGTAATGGATTTAACACTTAAGAAAAGTTTAAAAATATACATTTGATTTTTATATCTGATATTTTCTAATTTTTTCTAAATAAAATTGTTAAAAATTTTCTATAATATAAAACACATTTTGTTACCGAAATATTCTGCCAGAAAAAGGAACAAAATTTCTAGCAAATCCGAGAAACATCTGGAAAATCTGACAGTACAAGAAGCTCAACACGTTTATAAAGCACACAAGATCAGACGCAAGATAATAATTTCAAATATATTTTTTGTAAATATCGATCGCTAAAATTTAAAACTCGTTATAACTCATCGGAAGCGAGGTCAGATCATGTTTATTCAAACTTTGTTTTCATTCCTTTTAAATCGGTTCCTGAAAGTGAATCTCACATATCACAACACATCCGTATACTGTTTACTAATATACATTGCATTTTTATATCCTTTTTTTCTCTAACAATAAGAAATATCTAACCAGCTTTTTATTTCCCAAAAAATTATTTATCATACATTGAAAAAAATTTGTTAACTTGACTAAACCTTTCAACTAAATCGCTATTTTATTAATTGAACATATATTAGTATCTAACAATAAGTCAAATATACGTTTTGTTAGATTTAATATGTTATATTTAGTTTAAATATTTTTATATGTTCAATTAACAAAATAATATTTAAAAGGTTTACAGTGTAAAAATATTTCCCTACAATCTTTCTTTCTCCTTTCAAAATTATTTTCTTGATAAATTAATTAAATAATTTTTTTTTTAAATCACACATCCGTATTTATTGTTTACTAATAAATTAACATTGTTGCAATTTTGTATCTTTTCTTTCTCTATCAATAAGAAATATTTGCGTCCAGTTTTTTCTTCCCAGCAAAATTCTCTATCATAATAAATATTTTCCTACATCCTCCTCTAGTTTTATTAATCTCAAAATCCATTTTCTTCATAAATTAATTAAATAAAAATTTTTAAAGGAATCACACATCCGTATAATGTTTATTAACATACATTGATGCAATTTGTATCTTTTCTTTCTCTAACAATAAGAAAAATATCTGTCCAGTTTTTTATTCCCAGCACAAAATTCTCTATCATATAAATATTTTCCTAGATGCTACTCTATATCTTTTCGAATCTCAAAATCCGAAATCATTTTCTTGACAAATAAAAGATTTTTTAAAAATCACATCCGTATATTGTTTACTAAAATATATAAACATCATTGTAATTTTTGTATCCTTTCTTTCTCCAATAAAAAAAAAAGCATCTAACTTCTTTTTATTCCCGGCAAAATTCTCTACCATCAAAAAATATCTACCTACACTTTCCTTTATCCTCTTAAAATTCGGATTAAAATTATTTTCCCAACACAAATTAATAAAATAAAAATAATTAAATCATACACTGACCTTCTCGAAGTGGCACGTTGCGGAGTGGTCGCCGTGCTGGATGCCGGACTGCTGGAAGCTGCGCCGAACGAACTGGAGCAGGTCGTGTTCCCGGTGACGTCACTAGACCCCGTGGTTGTGGAACCAAGACTGCCCTGCCTCGAGGAGGCCGCCTCCGGTGTCTGGCGCCCCGCGACCTCCCAGTAAATTGCCGACCGGTTCGACGCGGCGTCGCCGCCGCCGCGTTGACCCCGGTGACCCCGGCGGCATTCCTCGCGGGCGCGCTCGAGGGTCGCAACAGGGTGCCGGAAGTGCCGCCGTTAGTCTGCGCCGCAAGGATCTCCGGCGCGATCAGCGCGATGTCTGGCAGCGAATTCGGCGCCGAGACGGCCGCGGCGCGCCGATTCGCCAGCTGATCACGCTGCGCGCCGCCACCCTCGGGCAGCCGCAGGTGACGTAGGCGCCGCATGGATGCGCGCATCCACGAGTTCGCGGTGGCGGCGATGGAGGTGGTGCCGACGGAGGTGGCGGTGCTCGTGGTCCCGCGATTTCCGCGATCGACCGCCTCGTTCGTAGCGTTGCACCGCACGGCTTCCTCGTCGTCCTCGTCATTGTTATTATTGTTGTTGTTGTTGTTATTATTATTATTATTACGGTACCGGCGACTGCGTGGACAGCTACTGCGACGACCAACGTTGCTGTTGTTGTTATTATTTTGACGGTCCTGGAGAAGCGCGCCACCGGGGGATGCCCACCGCGAGCCGGTGACTGCTAGGGACTTCCCCGTCGCGGTGACGGACATCGCGGCACTGCGGGTTGCCGCCGTCTCGCGACGTTCGCAGATGCGCCTGCGTTCCTCGCTGACGGCAGGAGAGGGATTCCCCACTTCCTCGCCGGCGGCGAGAGGCTCCGCCGCGGCTCGCAAACACTCCACTTCCTCGAGCCAGGACCAATCCACTTCAGAACCTTCGGAGCAGCCCTCGACGCTGCCGGTCGTCGATTCCGCTTCCGGCAACTGTCTGTGAATGTGGAGAAAAAAAATGCGGGCTTAATCTTGGCCGGGTTTGCACAATGCGGGTCTGCGCTCCGACCGGAACGCGTGGAGAGAGCGTTTCCTTTTTTTTTTTTTTTTTACTGATAATATGAATAATGCAAAATATGCAAATGTGCATTCTCCTTAGCGGAATATGGAATAATTGAATCGCATTAATCAGCCGCGTGTGTGTTTGCAAAAGCTTATATATTTGAAACAACATAAGGTTGCTTGATGTCATATGTGTAACGTGTAATGTGAGAAGAATTAATATTTACAGAGACTTTCATTTTTATCTCTGATTATTCGTTAATAATAGTAATAATAATAATTACAATAATAATAATAATAGTAATAATAATAATATTAATAATAGTAGTAATAAAATAATAATAATAATAATAATAATAATAATAATAATAATAATAATAACAATAATAATAATAATAGTTTTCCGACTCTAAATTTCTGGCACAAGTGATTTCATTCTACTTGAAAAATTTCGTAACTTCTCATCATTCACGAACTCTTTCAATTTTTTTTCTATTTCCACGAAAGCAACAGGTTCCCCTTCTCCGATCTTGAAAAGTATCCGGCCGGGCGTTTGACGGGTCAATGACCCCGACCTCCGTCGCACTCTCCTGACTTTACGCATCTCTCTTTTCTCCTAGGCTAGATGGAAAGCCGCGATAAATGGTAATAAATAACAGTTAAGAGGATCCTAAACGTTAGAACACAAAAAAATTTTAATTTATTTAACAAAATTTTTTTTGTCTTTTAACATAAAATCGGTAGGTTCGCGCTTTCTTTCTATATATGAATTTTAATCGTGGAAAAGCATTTCTTATTCTATTCGACCAATAAAAAGAAAAGAGTGCGCAAAAATAATGTTCAAAAAAATAGAATAATAAATGTTTTTTCCAACGAAAACATTTTTTTAAATTAATAAATTAAAATTCCTCTAAGGGAATGCTCACTGTATCTGTTTTATTGATAAATATTATTTTTATTTAACTATTTATTGGCTATATAAAATGAAAAATCCTTTACTAGAATTAAAGTATTTATAATAACAAATCTGGGTTATTATATTATAAAAAAACAAGAAAGCTAAATAATTTCAGATTTTTTATCAGTCTTTAGGTCAACCTAATCTAAACGATAAGAAAACTGTAATAGTAATTGATATTATAAAAGGCCTAAAACGAGCGGTATTCATAAAATATTATAAACATTTATTATTAATTACAATCGTTTTGAACATTAACTGATGTCTTCTTCAGTGTATAATTAGGTACATTACATTAGATGCAAACAATTGACCGTTGTATTCGATTGCATATTTTGTCAATAAAATCTTAATCGACAGTTTACCAGCAGTCCGTATAGCAACATAAAAAATAGTTTCCAACTTTACAACAATCTTTCCAATTTTAAGTTTGACAAGAATTATGTGTTAATCTCATTAGATGTCATCTCTATGTTTACTAATGTGCCTATTGACCTGACGCTTACAGGTTTAAGTAATAGATGGTCATATATAGAAAAAAATATAGACATTACGAAAAAAGATTTTATGTGTATTGTTGAATTCATACTCACGTCTACGTATTTTAACTTTAACAACATAATTTATAAACAAACACACGGAACACCAATGGATTCCCCATTGTTGCCTATAATAGCAGATATTGTTCTGCAGGACATTGAAAACAAGGCATTAAATAAAATAAAAATAAATATTTGTTTTATTATAGATACGTAGACGATATATGTATGGCAGTCCATAGAAATTCAGTTGGAGAAGTATTAGATTTATTCAATTCATACCATCCACGTATCCAATTCACATGTGAGATTGAAAATAACAGAAGTATTAATTTCTTAGATCTCAACCTCAAAGTTGTTAATGACCTAATTTCAGTGGATTGGTTTCGTAAAGACACATATTCTGATAGGTACTTGTCTTATTTTTCTAATCATCCTATTTGCCACAAGATAGAAACGATTTACTATTTAATTGACAGAACAATTTTATTATCAGACCCAGTTTTTCATGAGAAAAATATTAAAACAATCATTAGCATATTATTAAATAATAGCTTTCTTTTGTCATTGATTTTCAAACATATTAATATTAGACTTAAAAAGTTAATTAATACTAAATTAAATGGTTTATATACAACACATGGTGACAATAATGATAAACAATTTATTGTTATACCTTACGTTAAAAACTTGTCAGAACGTGTTGTCAGATCTTTTAAAAAAACAGGATATTCACCAGGTTTTAAATGTTTTAATAAATTAGATTGTTTCATTAAAACACATAAAGATAAAACCCTGAAGCAGAACAATAATAATGTAATTTATAAAATAAATTGTAAAGATTGTGAAGCGACTTATGTAGGACAAACCAAAAGACAACTTGGGACTCGTATAAAAGAACATATGAGAAATATTAAACAATCTAACTTAACAGTAGTTTCCCAACACATGGCGGATAATAAACATACTATGGACTGGGATAATGTGCGTATATTAGACAAGGAAAAGAATTATTATAAAAGACTGATTGGTGAAACAATACGCATAAAACAACAAAAACAAAAACTTAATGTCATGGAAGATTTAGAATTATTAGATCAGATATATTTCCCGCTTCTTGATAAGTTAGCGAAAATTTAACAACACGAATCTTAAGAAGGTTAAAAAACAAGTACTTATACATAGTTTAAAATTGTCAGTTGCTTAGTGAACGTGGCAGAGTTAAGTTGATAATATATATTGCCTAACCAGGGAAATAGTGAACTTTATATAGTACATCATGATTATTCCGGTACGTTAAATAATTCTTTAAATTTGGTTAATATAAGAGAAGGAGTTATTTTAAAAAGGTTGAATTTAAAATAGATTTCATCGTATATCAGGACACATACCATCTTGACTAAGCAATTCTTATATTGGACAACCATAAAGTTTAACATAAATATCGACACCGTTTGACTACCAACACATGGTTAAAAATGCGTAATTCATTTGTTTGCATCTAATGTAATGTACCTAATTATACACTGAAGAAGACATCAGTTAATGTTCAAAACGTTTGTAATTAATAATAAATTTTTATAATATTTTATGAATACCGCTCGTTTTAGGCCTTTTATAATATCAATTTCATTATTTTTTTAAATAACGACGAGCTTGATTTTTATTTAAATTTGTTAAAACTGTAATTGTTTAACTTTCGTGATTTCTTTTTAAATACATATATTGTAGCTCAGATTTGTTATTATGAGTAATTTAATTCTAATAAAGGATTTTTCATTCAGTATAGCCGAAAAAGAGTTGAATAAAAACAATATTTGTCGATAAAACAATTAGCATGCCCTAAAACACGTGGAGAGCAAAGAATGACCCGATTGGCGAAAAAACGTCCACCGCGGTAAGAGAGGCGCTACTGACAATGAGGCAAAACAAATATGGCCGCCGAATATACAACAACAGTTTTAAGTGTAAAAATTTATTTTTTTAATGAAAAAGCTGTTGTTATTGCAACTAGACACACTATGTGATTATACAAAAGCTACGCCTTCATCAAGGAATATGATCGAAGGCCAGAATGTTATAAATTCCGGCATGATTATTATGTGCGGTGTAACTATGAAAAGTCAAGAAAAAATAGATTTATATTCCTTATGTGTACAAATAAGTGCCTTGACAGAAATCATCAGAATCTCATGTGATCACTGGAACATTATTAATTAATTTTTCAAATAACAATAAGATAATGTTAGATGTGGCAGCCATTTATGATAGTTCACGCGACCACCACTAATGTCGCATTGAATTTTTAAGCCCCGAAAAGAGAGAGAAATCACTCCAAAGGGAAAGACAAGATCGCCGAACGAGAAAGTCCTTTGTTTTCCTCCGCACGTGCCGCTTCGAGGAGGCCGAAGCTTGCGCGGAAAGCAGGAGGAAAGGAAGAAGGGAAGAAGAGTGCCACCTCGATGCGGGTTCCACGCTTTGCGCGCACGACCCCGCGTACCGTGACTTCCGGTGTCCGGAGAGCAGCCGGCGCGGCGGCACCCAGGACGTCGCGGGCTAGAAAGCATTTCCACGTGATCCTCGTGGGTGCCGCCATCCCACATCCGTCCCCCGATCGCACGCACATACGCAATAAACTACATGCGTTTTCTCGACACCAATTGATTCGTTTCGTCATTTTATACAGAAAAGTTATTGAGGTAAAATCATCGAAGAATAAATATTTTACGAGATATTTGATAATTCTAAATTAATTTTAGCTGTAAAATTAATATTAAGATATAAAATACATAACTCGTAATTTTTTTTACCATTCTACTCTTCAAACTTTTATGTCAAATTTATTATGAGAAATCAATTTATATGAAAAACATTAGGAAATGGTTTCATCAGAGAAAAAATTAAATTAATCCTTAATTAAAAAATTACATTAGTTAAAATGTACACAGTTGAAGTTAAATTTAACAGATATCATATATATTCCAAACGGTCCACATAAACTTTTGTGAAAATTTTACATAATAAATAGTGATAGGAATATTTCAACACGAAAAAATGCAAACTTTAAGTAATTTGAAATAAATTTTGTATAAAAGTAACATAGTTTTAATGTAAAATTAACTAAAAAACAATATGAATATTTTACATTTTAATATCCCTACTTATGTATATTATAAAATAAAATCAACATTTTTTTCTATAAATTTTAACAGATAAATCTTGTCTACTAATAATACAGAACATATTTATTAGATGCACATTGTATTATTTTTATACTTATTTTAATCATTTAAAATTTGAATTTAATTAACACAACAGCAATATGTTAAATTAACATATGAATATGTTAAATATTTAACACGGGTCTTTTTATCAAGAAAACACAAATCTTTCAACTGTGTAAAATTATTAATTTTTTCCTTTCGAAACTTTTTAACTTTTGTATGAAATATTTTCTCGTTATAATAAAAAAAATAAAAATTTTTTGAAGAAAACGTATATGTTCACAAAGGAAATGTTGAGGACAAAAAAGAGACTCATAAATAAATGTAGAAATTATAAAAACGGAAATATAAAAAGGATACTCAATAAATATAAAAATAACTACATCAATGTTACTATAATATCGATAAATCTGAATTCTCAAAGAGATTTTAGATGCCGACAAATTAAATTTTTATCGATTGAAATAACCAATTGCTTACATAATTTAAATTAAAAAAAATCAAACACTCGATTACTTCTATTTTCATATACATATCTAAATATATATTCTTTCTTTCATTTAAAGTCAAAATAATTTATCACATAGGATATTTAATATAAATTATATACTGACATGACATAAAAAATACTAATATAAATAGCAGATACTAATATTAATAAATCTGTAAACTTCAAAATTATCCAAAAATTGTGAGATGTCGACAAAGTTAATTTTTATTAATTGAAATAACCCATTGTTTATACAATTTATATTACAAAAAAATCAAACACTCGATTACTTCTATTCTCATATACATATCTAATTATAGATTCTTTCCTTCTTGACATTTAAAGTCGAAATAATTGATCGCACAGTATTTAATATAAATTATATACTACTGTGACGTTAATACAAATATAAATAGCAGAATACTGTCATCCTGTTTGATTGGAGAAATGGCACACACGGATTATGTGTATGTGTGTGAGAGCATGAGTTGCGCACTTTGTCGTATCCGCCCGCATGGCTTCTACCTTGGCTGAAATGGCTGAATACCGCATGATTACGGAATCGCAGAAAGATAATCGCAGGAATGTTGGGGGTGGAAAGAAGCTCGGTAATTCTTCTTGTGCCTCGGAATACATAGTACGTGTGTAATTCGCAGGTATACGCGAAGGGAATAATGGAATACGAACAAAGAATAAATTGTTAAAGAACTATGTGGACATTGAATAACACAACATGTATATTTATATGATTATATATGATATTTTAGATTATATAATATTTTACATAATATTTTATTATATATATTTTATAATATTACATATATGTAAATATTATATGATATATAAAATTATATATTTTAAATAATATATGTTCAAAAATGTCAGATGGATTCTTTAACATATATATAATAGTTTGTATAAAAATAAAGAGTCACGTATTTTACAACCTTTGAAATCATTAATAAGCTGAAATTGTAATGTATGCCTCTTTGTACACTTTTTACGTCAATCTTTTGTGTGTCATATCTAAGAGAGAGGTAAAAATCTTGGAATAATGCTTTTTGTAAAGACTGACTGATTTATGTGTTCAGAATTCAACCTCTTCATTTGAATGAAAGATATTTGAGGGTGTCCATTGTGTGAACCACCTATTATGTGTTACTGTAGATTTTATCTTTCCTATATCTCATCCTTATACTTTTTCAACCTGGTTGCGTTCTTATGACGCTATATCACTGAGAGAAAAGTGTATAATACTTGTAACTATAATTGCATAGTAAAATAATTATAGTTGGGATATTCATTTTATAGTTATGATTCCTATAACGTTAGTAAAAATAACCTTACATGCATGGTTCTGACAAATAATGTAAAATTTTACTATAAATTATAATAATTTCAAATATTAATATAGTAATATATTAAGTAACAAATGGTAAATTATTAAACCATTTTTATAATAATTACAATTATAATTATAGTATATATGTCTATAGTCTTAATGCCAGTTCTACTATTTATTGGTAATAATAACTAAAAAGTGAGTAAGAGAAAATAACTAAAAACATTAGTTTTTAACATTAATTTATGTTATATTTTTGTTCTTAATTAAATCTTTCTTATCTTTAATTTCTGATCTTTAATATTCAATTTTTAATAGAATTTAACATTGCTTGTTGCGCGATGTAGACTGCAGTTAATACTGCGCTATACTAAATGCTACGAATTATTTCTATCTTTGTATATTCTATATGAAGATTGAAAATAAAATGTTTCAAAACATTGTAATCACAGCCATAGTCGTTGGTTTATTAATTTACCATTCAAAATAGCTGTTCCATAAAACAAAGATCGAGCCGCTGTTGCGTCGTTGCCAAACAAAGATATCAGATTCGATGGTCGGCATTCGGCAACATCTTTGTCGGCGAGATCTATGAGTCTGCACGTGCACAGATATATATCAATATCGGATCAATGGCGTTTGGCGCGGCATATAGCGGCAGTCGAGTACTGATTGCGGACAGTTATTATTTTTCGAGTGTTCAGCGTGTACGCAACGCAACGTGCAAGGTTAGAATCCAGAAATTGGACGTGTCGGATAACAAAGAAGATTAAATTGTGTGAATATAAAGTGTATAATTGTTTAATTAAGTGTTTAATGTTAACAAAATTATCGGGGAATAGGATTCGTCGTTTAGAAAAAGTAAGTACATAGTTCTAATAATAAAGAGAAGCTTGTGCTATACATATAATAGCACAAACACATTCTTTTTTTAATTGCAGGAAAATATTATATAATAATTGCAGAAAAATTCTTATCTTTTAGTCAACAATTTTTGCAATTATTGATACTCTAATATACATATATATATAGCAAATACAATTGGAAGATATTTTTTAGACGTACGTCTTTGAAATGTCTTCTGAATGTCTTTTAGATATGATCTAAATAAATATAGCGTTTATTAATATACGCGTTACATATTTTTATAGGTTAAATATCTACAAAATGTCAAATTTAATTGAAGATCAATTGGAAGCGTGGGGTCTTCAGGAATACATTGAGAAGTTTAAAGGTAATTATTTTTTTTTAATAATATAAGACATGGTGCTTATGTCGCATTTTTAATTATTTAGCTGAACAAATCGATGAGAAAGCATTCCTACATATGCCTGACTCCATGGTTAAAGAATTAATACCTGTAGTTGGAAAACGTTTTTATTTTCTACAAAATCGACAAGAATTACTCGAAAGTGAAAATTTAATTTCGGTAAGATAATTTTTAATCAGATTCCATTTTTATTAGATTTTATATTTGCATTTGTTATATTAAATTAATTAAAAATTATTGACATTTAATAATCTATTTTTTTATATATTAAAGACTTAAATAAAATTTTTTAGTATTATTTTTATTATTAATAAACAGTTTTTATATTTGTTTTGAAAATATCTTTTAAATAATATAATTTTATTGCATTTTTATTTTTTAAATTAAATTGAATTAAGAAATTTTTATATATTAATTACATATTATATAATATAATTTTTATATTATTATATAATATAAATTTTATATTTTTATTTAATTTATTAAAATGTTTATAATTATTTGTGATTTAGGAACGCTCATCAATTAAATTATCTAGAACTGAATCTGAGGATACATGCAGTATAGCGAGTAGTTCTTCAATAAATTTAGAATTTAAAAATCATGAAAAGGTATACATTTTCATATAAATTTTGCAATATTTTTTAGTGTTCATATACTTTTGACTATATATAAATAATAATTTGTGATTACAAAGAGCATTCTATGCTTAAATCAATCAAATAGCGTTCAAAAATAAAAATATACTTCAATCAAGGATTCCTTTTTTTCTGTGCTTAATTAAATGAATTATAATGTATATATACATTGATTTATTTATCTCTATAAAAGTTAACTTTAATTTTTCAATTATGTAATGCAAACATAAACGCAAATATGAAAAAGTTAATCAAATTTAATATTTCTTAATCATTTTTATAATAATTTTTTTGTTTCTGTTTTAGACGCTAAAAGAATTACTTTGTGAATCTAGCTGTGGTAAAAAAATATTGAAACAAACACGATTGACTTCATCAGATCGCAATAAACTGTGTCATTTGATTATTGATAAACTTCTTTGCAAATCTAAAAAGTAAGTTGTAAATTTTTGTATGTAAAATATTTTTATACTATTTTTTATTTCTTGATTTATTAAAATTTATTTTAATATTTTAGAATAACTTCTGAGCAGTTTCAAGAGTTGGCTGCAGCGATAGCTAGCGTTTTTAAATATGAAAATACATCGACGTATTATGTTCCATCAAATACAAAATTTCGACGTCTAGCTAACGGTAAACTGTGGGATAAATATAATAACCTTAAAAAATACATTAAGCAAGACAAAGTAAAAGCAATTAAGGACGACAGCATTGAAGATACATCTGATTGTCAAGAAGAATTACTCAAATTGAGTATAATTCAACCGGATGATCAAAATCTGGAAAATCTTTGGAAACAAACGTTTAAAGCAAGAAAGAGAGGGATTTCTATTAATGCGTATTATGAAGAATACCCTATTTTAAAAACTTCTTTTGGTGCCATATTGGTAATTATTCATAAAAATATTCTATAATACATTAATAAATTTTTTAAGCTATTATATAATTTTTATTATAAATTATTGCAGTTACAAATTGATTTTGAGCTAGAAACAAGCATAAGTACGCATATGTTTCCTAGTAAGTGGTCTCGAATTGCTCCATATATATTAGATCTTGCTGTAAAGAAAAATGTTTGCTCATCATTGTATGAACTACGTAATGGTATATATACATATTTAATATATTTTTCATATATTATTTTTTGTTTATTTCTATTTTTTTAGTTTTTTATTTTTTATTTTCAGATGTACCTCTCGAAACATTAAGTCTTCTTGTATTACCTTATTTATTTCCACCGAATAATGTAAAAACAGGTAATAAGAAAAAGTGGAAGCCTTCTAAAACAGAAATTGCTGACAGTTTTATTTGTCGCATTCCTGTAAGTAAAAAAATGTTAATATATTTTTAGAAATTTTATTATTTATAAAAAATTAATCTTAATATTATTTTTTTTCTTTAGAGTATAGCAGAATTGGAACCCAAATTAGAAAAACGTAAAGAAAAGCTTGAAGCTTTTGGGTTGACACTGCAGCCAATGATAGTTGCGATTGGTTCAATTATAAATTTGACAAATTTTTACGTTGTAGTAAACAACATTAAATACGAATCAACGAGTTTAATAAATGCAGTGAACTTGTGCTTCCAAATGTTCTTTGCGTTGGATGCAAAATATCCAATTGATTCTGAAATGGTGTGGTATTTTTTACAATATCACATATATGATATTAAGAATGCAAAATATGCTCGAAATTTCGTTGCTGTGGATACTACTTGGTGCGATTTACAAGAACTAATCGAGTTAAGTGAGTAAAAGACCCCTTGAAAAACGTATTGCTTTATTTTAAAAACTTATGTTACTTTTATGTTTAATATCTCTTTTATTTTTTAATGTCAGTATATACATCCATAATGATAAAGTGTCAATTTTGTTCTAATTTCTTTTCTAAAAAATATTTAAAATCTCATATGTGCAATTTGAGCATCATGCATATTTAAATTCTATCCAATATGTTTGTCAATTTAAGAATTGTAATCGTTCCTACTCAGATAACAAAACACTAAATAAGCATAAAAGACGTTGCAAACATTTTGAAAAAGAAGAAACTATTTTTAATAATGAAATAGAATTTGAATCTGAAATACAAACGTCAAAATTGAACAAAACATGTCTGAAAGTAGTAAATATTTCTAATGATAAAACCGAATCTGAAAACAATAATATAGTTTTGAATAAAGACTTTTTATTTAGAAACATTGAAGCTACACAAAATGAACTTTGTATACTTGCACTGAAAATGATTTCTTTACTACATTCAGATGCTACATTATCTCGAATTCAAATTGATCGAATTGCACATATATTTCATTTATTTCTTAACTCAAACTATGTAAATGATTTAAAAAACTGTATATCTCTTATGGAAACAAATTCGAATCATATAATAGAAAAATTTAAACTATTGCAAAATGTTTTTAGCGATCTTGATACTGAATATAAACGAAACAAACTATTAATTAATCTTGGATATTATATTAAACCTAAACGAATATTCTTTGGAACTATGGATGTAAGAAATAATAATGTATTAAAAACTGAAAATGTATATGGACAATTGATATCATTAAGAAAATTATTAAAATCGTTTTTCGAAATAGGTGATATATTTGAAAAAACTTGCAAGTATATATATTGACATATTAATTAAGGATGATAATAATGAAATTTATAATATTATACAATCTGATTTCTGGAAATTAAAAATCTCAAATAGTACATCGATAACAATTCCTTTATTTTTATACGAAGATGCTTTTGAAATAGGAAATCCACTTGGATCACATCCTGGTATATATAAATTAAATGGAATATACGTTTCAATACCATGTTTACCACCGGAATTGTATTCAAAATTAGATAACATCTTTCTTGTTCAGTTATATCATGCAGATGATTCGAAATTGTTTCCAAAAGAAAAAATTTATTCACATTTAATTAAAGAATTAAAGATTCTAGAATCAGAAGGTATTCAACTAATAATAGAATCTAAAAATATTCAAGTATATTTTAAACTTGCATTAATTATCGGTGATAATTTAGGATTACATAGTATTTTGGGATTTACTGAAAGTTTTTCTACGTACAAATGCTGCCGATTTTGTAAAGTATCGAAAGATGTATCTCGAAAGTTATGCAGTGAAGATGTAAATGCGTTGCGCGATAAAGTAAATTATGCAGATGTAGCAATAAATAACGTAACTATTTCGGGTATAAAAGAAAATTGTGTATTCAATGTTTTATCAAGTTTTCATGCAGTTGAAAATTATAGCATTGATATTATGCATGATTTATTGAAAGGCGTATGTATATATGAAATGAGTTATATTTTGCATTATTTTATTGTAGTAGAACAGTATTTTACTTTAGATACTTTAAACTGGCGGTTGCAATTTTTTAATTTTGATCCGATGTTAAACCGCCCTCCTACAATTTCGAAATTACAATTACTAAAAAAATCTATTAAAATGTCTGCTTCTGAAATGCTTAATTTTGTATTAAATGCTGGTTTAGTATTTGGTGATCTTGTAACTAATTCTAATGACAGTCATTGGGAACTTTATATATTATTACGAAAAATTCTTTCTATTACACTTCAATACAGCGTTACTAAATCGACAGCAGATTTACTAGAAAACTTGATTAATGAACACCATGTGTTATACATCAAATTGTTTGGAGAAACTTTAAAACCTAAGCATCATCTAATGTTGCATTATCCTCAAATTATGAAAATTATTGAACCCCTCCGTTCTCTATGGTCAATGAGATTTGAAGCTAAACATCGTCCCTTAAAACAATATGCTCGTGCAATTAGTAGTAGGAAAAACATATGTTATAGTATTGCTGTTAAACAACAAATAATGCTAAGTAATTTATTAATAAATTTGCAATCGAATAATTTACCATATGTTACATATAAAACAAGCAATTCATTAGTTTGTCAGAATTATCGTTTATTAAAAAATTATAAAAATTATACTCAAGTAAAAAGTGTTAGTTTTGGAAACATAGTGCTTAAAAGAGGATCAATTATCTTAATAGAAATTAATGATGAGAACTATCCTGTATTTGGAGAAATTGCAGATATTTTTAAAACCAATACAAATGTGTTTGTATTATCACCGTCATGTTTCAATGCTACTGTCAAATATATATTTGCAACGTACTTTGATAATCATTATCAAGCTTATGTCATAAATATTTCAGAAAAATATGATACTATAAATTTTGACTCAGTACAATTTTTTAAAGTATATACTTTAATTAAAAAAACAGATAACTATTATATTAGTTATTGAAAACCGTATTTGTTTTTAAGTGGATGTATATACACTTAGTTTTAAGTGATTTATGTTATGTCTAGATTAAAATTTTTTTACTCTATGCAGTTCATACTTTTTAGTGTATATTAATATATAATTAATATAATTTAGTTTTAAGTTTAGTTTTGCTATATAAAAAATATAATAAAAAATATATATATATGCGCAAAATAATATGTAAAATATTTTGTGTTAATCTAAAATAAATATTTATTTTTAAAAAATAACTATTTTATATTTACATGCTTCCTCACATTATTTTTATAATAAAATTACTATATATAATGTATGTAAAATTTACTATAAAATTACATTAATAAAATACCATTTTATATGGTTAGTATTTTATATTCAACATAGTAGTATTAAACAATTTTAATAAAATTAATATAGCTATTAATATGGTAAAATTTTTTTAAATAGAACATATTAATAGAAACTTTTTTTATAGTTGGGCGAACATTATAAATTAAAATTGTCAGAACCACAAGCATTGTAGAATTAATTATATATTTATATAGTTATATTAAATATTATGGCTTACTACAATATATGGTAAAATTTTTCTTTATAGAATATATTAATAGAAACTTTTTTTTATAGTTGGACAAACTTTATGAATTAAATTTGTTAAAACCACAAGCATTGTAGAATTAATTATATATATATAATTATATTAAATATTATAAGTTACTATAACATTTTGTTTATTAAACCTTCAATTATGGCCATTATTATCATATGAATAGTACGATTTACTATATTTTAACCACACATTATAGTGTATATAACTATAATTTGATTGCATTAACATATGCTACTGTTATGACAACAATAATTTAAAACTGAGTTAACTATAATTTGTAATGTTAAAATAACTTTAAAAATATTGTTGTCCCCTAAACTCACTTAAAATTATAGTTAAATTATGGTAATTGCAACTATTGTTTTCTCTCAGTATATGCAGAAGGCACGTAATGATTCAGAACGTCGGAAAGTAATGTATGTATACAGGGTGTACCATAAATGTGGACTGCTACTTCAGTAGCGTATTCTATTCATTGAAATGAGCGATAAAGTTTATATAAACATACGTCCAAAAAATTGTTGTTTTCACAATATAAAATAATTTTTAGATCAAAATTAAATAAAATAATTATAAGACGTATTATTTTATTTTTAACGATACAAATCGGTGCAACATCAATTGTTATCTCTCAAAATAATTCATATGTTTATATGAACCTTTTTGGTCATTTCGATGTGTAGAATACATTCCTGAAGTAATACATTTATATACGTTTAATTTCAATTACAAATGTGTGTAATAATATTATTCTGAAATAAGAAAGCATGCAGAAAAATTTTAGTATTATGCTAATTTTAAAATATAATATATGTGTATTATTGTGTTATTATTTTAAATTTAAATTTTGAATTTTTAATTCTAAATTTAATTATTATAATAATGTAGCAATCTTTATATAAAATCCAATGAGAATTATCTAAACACAATTATATTGAATATATTTTAAAAACTAATTTTGAAATTATTATGAAAACTATTACAATATAAAATTATATAATTATTATTCGAGCATTCTTAAATCTAAAATTTCATAAAGAAATTTAAGATAGAATGCATTATAAACATGCGTGAAACATACTTATGTAAGAAACTTATAAGTACAAAATTTTATTTTAATAAAAGATGTAAGTTTTACAAAATCATCTTAAATTAATACAAATATTGCAAAAGTCCTATTTAGATAAATTATTTTTTCTTGTATAATAGACTTTAATACTCAAATAGGACTTTTACAATAAATTAAGGTAATTTTGCAAAATGCACAAATCTTTTATTGAAATAAAAATTTATAATTATATAAGTTACGTTGCATGTTTCATATATATCTAATGCATGCTAAATTTCTTTGTAAAATTTTTAATTTAATAATGTTTAAATAATAATTACACAATTTATACTATAATGGTTTTTATAATAATTACAAAATTAGTTTCTGAAATATTCCCGGCAATAATTCTACTAAAATAATTTGCGCTAATACAATTATAGTAACATTTATTTTAGGCATTAATTTTATAAAAATTACTACGTGCTATAAAATTAAATTTTAAATCAATTACTTCAAAAATTTAAATTTTTAATTGTAACACATTAAATGCTAAAATTTTTCTGTTACGCTTTCCTATTTCACAATCAGTGTATCGATTATCCATCACACGCTGAAGATACTTAAAAATTTGTGATAATAATATTCAATTGACATTGCTTAAAAAATTGCAGTAAAAAATTAGACTAAAATCTACAAAAAAAAAATAATCCGCACGTAAAATAAAAGAGACACAAATTCCGTTTCCTTTTACGTAACTTAATTGCGTTCGAGTCATCGACTCGTCGATTTCGCGATTAAAATTTTCAATTTCTCCGAACACCAGGTAAATCTAGGTTTGGAAACTCCGCCGTGCAGCGAAGCATTGAGGGGATATTTCGTCACAGAGCGACTCGCGCAT